ATAGGACAGAAAGTGACTTCTATACTTTTAAAATTTATGCAAAACTTAGGAGGTCTTTAGACCGAGCCAACTATAGTCAATAAATTTATGAGATTTTGGTGTCAAAAGAATTCTTTCATTAAAAGAAACATATTTTACTATGTTGTTGGATGGCATTGACTTTGATGAACATGTTAGGTATTGTGTAAAGTTCACAACATAGTAGGATGATAGTTCATTTATAATTATGTGCTGTCCTGTAGAAATTAACAGATTATCCCAGACTGGGAGAATATCCCAACCTGGGCTAAACATCCCAAATTGAGATACATATAATTTGACATGTATATAAGGAATGAGAATTTGCTGTAGTCAAAGAATAACTTTGTAACAAATTAACTTAATAAATTAATAATTAGTTTCAACTAAATACAAAATTAAATAAATCATTTTTATCAAATCACTAAAACAAAATTATCTGCTAATAAATCCAATTTGTTAGTATTAGCCTATTCATTCTGATCCACATAAACTAACAAAAATTTGTTATCATCAATTAAAACACACTCTCCCAAAATTAATTGGTGACAATAACAATTCATTCTCTGTTCTTATGTTAGGTATTGGGAAAGAATCCTCATGACCTAATTACTGGCATTGAAAGCTGTGTAATTGAAGTATGTATATCACTGTATTGGTTTCTTATGAAGGCACAGGTCTAATGATTGTCATTTATTTATAGGGGAATATAAAAGTAAATGCCATTATATGACTTATTCAGACATAGTAAGTTTTTTGCCTATTCTATTATGGCTTTTTGATAGTCATAATATTTAACAATTTTAAAATTAAATAGCACATTCAATCTTCAACACTTACAATTGCCAATGTCTGAAGTTGCATTTGGAAGCAATTTTACAAACACAGTCACAAAAGGGATATTGACCTTTGATCAAACCTATCATTATGAAGAGTAAGTTTTTATTGTATATTTGTCATTTATACATTAGCCAATTTGATTAATTTATTATGCACAGAGGTGAGATTCAAGGTCTTGCTTCATCTGTAATTTCCAACCTCAAAACAAAGCCCACAGACAGAAGTTTAATTGGTCAAAAATTGACTTTAGAATTAGTAAAGACCAATTTGAATTGTTAATTGGTTTAAAATCTGAGGGACTTCCTTCAGCAACAAAAGAAATAAATAAAAGGGACAGGGACAGGTAATTGTGGCTGATGCTCTGTCCCCTGTCCTTTTCAATAATTTACTAATAAAATCTGAAAAAGGACAGGGGACAGGAAACCTTGCTCTTTGCTTGTGGTACACCTGTCCCTCGAATTTACCTGTCCTTTTAATGTTTTCATGTAAATCAACTGTCCCGTGACCTGTCCTTTTCTAGCAGCCCCATCAAATTAAACTCAGAAGAAAGCAAAGAATTATTTCAAAAGTGATTAAAAGAAGGTAAGATAGAAGATATTTGCCTCCAAAAGGAATCTTAGAAAATAGATATGAAGGATGAAATTCAATCAAATGAAGTTGTTATGACTATTATGACCTTAAAAATCTTTCTCTTGATGAATTAATTAGTAGTTGGAATGAGTTAACTTTTAAAACTAAGGAAAATTTTGATAAAGTGACTAAACAAAATCAAGAATACAAAGAGAAAATTAAGGCATTAGAAGCAGGGCAAGAAAGTTTGGAAGCAGAGGTAGAAGAATTAGAAGAAAGAGTAAAAATAGAACAGGAATAAGTTAAGGAAGTCATAGCAGTTGATGAAAAATGAAGCAAAAATCAGGCAGAAGACATAAAAGAGAAAAACAAGAAACCCAAAAGTGCTAGTGCAAAGATTTCTCATCTAGAAGCCTGAGTTGAAAAGTTGGAGGAAGAATCAAGTCAAAAAGAGCAAAAAAATAGAAAAACTAAGCAAGCAATTAACTGATAGTGAAACACAAAATGAAAATCTAAAGAAATCACTCTACTTAGGTAATAAACCCTTACCTGCCTTACCTAAACAGAGCATATTTAAAGCAATTAAAAACAAAAGCAAAAGTCAAGTTCCAAAAATTACAAAGGCTAATCAAAAAGGAAAAGCTTCACAACCAAGAAATGATTGCTCAAGTAGAAGTCAAGTCTAAATAACAAGTAAATTACAATGAGAGAACTGGAATACACAGTTTTAGAATTAGAAAAAGAAAGTAAAAAAACTTGTGATTTCTGCTCTAAACTTGAGAATAGAAATAACAAATCTGTTCATCAAATAAGAACATGTAGTAAAGTAACTGGGGAATGAATTTCAGATGATGTGGTTTGTGAATGACGCAAAGAAAAATATTGGAATGATGAATTGTCAAAGTGCAATAGATGTGGTAGATTGCAAACTAAGTTAGATTTTGATATTGTTAATGGTAAGAATGTTTGCTACTGTATTAGAAACAATGAAGATTTAGAAGAGAAGGAACTTCCTCTCTTACCTCATGAAGAAATAAGTCAATCTGCTTTCTACGAACAGCAAATAAACTCTCTGCAAAAACAACTAAACAAGACTGAAGAAGCCTTAGAAATTGAAAGGGAAGAAGTAATCAAATTTCAAGAAAAGTCTGAGGAATGAGGTAAGAGGCAAAAGCAAGAACTTTTGTTCACTTTGTCTGGTTTTGTTGCAGCATGCCCCATATCTATATTAAGAATGGGTAATTTTGTAATTTTTGATTCATTAATACTAAATGTAATTATTTAATTATTTTTTTAACATATAATAATTTTAGATAACCATCATTAAAAAGGCATCCAGACTTGCAACAACCATAATTACTTGTAAAAAAATTCCATGCTGTTCATATCAAGTATATTGCACACAATTATTAGAACTTAATCATATCCATTTTGTTCCATTAATTTATCTTGACAACAATGTTACATCATCATCTATAAATACATCAACAAAAAACCCTTCAAGATCAAACTTGGCAAAACAAATATATAATCAACAACTACAACAGCCACTTCCTGTTGTAGAATCATTAACTGATATTAATGATACTAATGATGATAACACTAATCATCATCATCATCATCATCTATTCCTTTTTCTTCACCACATATTGATGATACATTGACAATTACAACATCATCAAATTCAATACAACAATATTTATTTAATTAATTTCAATAATAGCAAATCTTCATCACATCATCCTTCTGTATCACAAAAAAAAATATTAAAATCATTCAACTTATTATCATGTGTTATCCACAAAAAATATACGCAATCGCCAAATCGATTTCTAAATAAGGATAACACACACCCAACCCACCAATAAAAATTGGATATTCTGAGGTTTCACGAAATTTGTGGATATTTTTTGTGGATAACTACATAATTATATTCAAATTTGCCAAAGGTCAGAAAATTTTTCTTATAAAATTTCTGTTTGTAATTCAACCAAACAATTACAAATAATTCAAATAGTAACTTTTATTTGAATAGAGACTTTAAAACAGTAAATAACAAGTAACACCAGTGACGAAGTCACTGTCATAAAGCATTCATCTAGTTTATTTATATATTTATTAAAAAAGATTATGATTATCATAAAAATAGTGTCATTTTTGACCCAATTCGTCCTGTAATAATAATTTCAGCCACCATCACTACACAAAACATAATCGTGATGTGTGTGTATGAACTAATTCAAACTTTAACCACATATAAAACTCTTTATTTATTGCATGAAAGTTTTTCAATTTTTAATGTAACATCAATGCTTCATAGCTAAAAAGGTTTTGTTAGATAATAAATTGTCATGAATCATGTTTGTACCATGAATTGAGACTTGCATCACGAATTGCATCTTGTGTCAATTGTATAAAATTATGATAGATAGTGCAATGCAATTTAATAATTTTGACCTCAAGTATAATTGGTACAGTCCAAAAAGTTTTCGGGTTTCGGGTCGGGTTCGGGTTTTTCGGTTCGGTCCCAACCAACAACCCGAACCCGAATTAGGCCCGATCCGAAAACTTTCGGTTAGCCCGGCCCGTCTCGGAGCTTTAATACTAATATTATTGGTGCGAGTAGTCAGTTTTATACATTAATAATTAATTTAGAGACAAATATTTAGACATTTGACATCAATTTAGACATTTGACATCAATTTAGACATTTGACATCAATTTAGACATTTGACATTTCAAATGTTTTGACATTATGGCAAATAAAGTGACCTTGTTGAATATATTTCAACAGTCGGAATGCATAAATGTTTGTCAACTCTATAATCCTTATAATATAGATGTATGTGTATGTTATGCAAAAACTCAATTTTGGTCAGAGAGGTCCCCTACCACATTTTCCTAGAAATCTCCCCATATAATAAACAGGATCATTTTAATTAACATGTTGTACTGGGGTGTTACAAATTATATATAATAAACACAAACATAGTTGAGCACACATAAAAAAAATCATATGTGCGGATTTTTCGCCGATCAATATATGTAAATTTTTTCAATATGAAAATTCAAACTCTATCTC